CTACGGCGTCTACGGCCAAGCCTGGAACCAGCAGGGCTTCAGGTGAGTCTTTGGGCTCATTTCCCCCCTTTTTGGGCAAAAATGGAAGCAACTGCCCCAAAAGGAAAAGCTTTTTTGGGGGGTATTCGGTGGATGGGGACCAACTGGGGGAGTTTGCTGGTTGAACTGGGATCAGCGTGGCTCTTTGTCCCCTTCATCCCCCCCCGCCAAGAGCTGGCTGTGAAGGGAATTTGCTATTAATTAATGAGAGATTAATTAATGATAATTAATTAATTCTCCCCCTCCAAGGGGGGCTTGGGTTTTCGGGGTGTCAAGGGGTGTCTGGGTCTCCCTCCTCCTTGGGGGGGCTGGAAAACACCGAGTCCTTTAACTCCACCCCCAGAGCTGGCTGTAAAGGGAATTTTTCTATTAATTAATGAGGCTAATTAATGTTAATGAGCTATTCCCCCCCAGGGGGGCTCAGGGCTCTGTGGTTCTTGGGGTGTCGGGGGGTGTCCGTGTCTTCCTCCTCCTGGGGGGCAGGAAAACACCGAGTCCTTTAACTCCACCCCCAGAACTGGCTGTAAAGGATTTTTTTTTTTAATTAATAAGGCTAATTAATGTTAATGAGAGAGTTCACCCACCACGAGGGCTCTGTGGTTCTTGGGGTGTCGGGGGGTGTCCGTGTCTTCCTCCTCCTGGGGGGCAGGAAAACACCGAGTCCTTTAACTCCACCCCCAGAACTGGCTGTAAAGGATTTTTTTTTTTAATTAATAAGGCTAATTAATGTTAATGAGAGAGTTCACCCACCACGAGGGCTCTGTGGTTCTTGGGGTGTCGGGGGGTGTCCGTGTCTTCCTCCTCCTGGGGGGCAGGAAAACACCGAGTCCTTTAACTCCACCCCCAGAACTGGCTGTAAAGGATTTTTTTTTTTAATTAATAAGGCTAATTAATGTTAATGAGAGAGTTCACCCACCACGAGGGCTCTGTGGTTCTTGGGGTGTCGGGGGGTGTCCGTACTCCCAGAGCTGGCTGTAAAGTCAGTTTTGCCATTAATTAATGAGACATTAATTAATGTCAATGAGATATCCACCCCTCCAGGAGGGCTCAGGACTCTGGGGTGTTTGGGGTGTCGAGGGGTGCCCGGGTCTCCCTCCTCCTGGGGAGCTGGAAAACACCGAGTCCTTTAACTCCACCCCCAGAACTGGCTGTAAAGGATTTTTATTTTATTAATTAATGAGACTAATTAATGTTAATGAGCTGTTTCCCCCCCTTTCCCCCGGCAGCCAGACACAGTCGTCGCCGACGAGAGGAAAAGCGACGCCTCAGGCTCCAAACCTCACCTATTTATTTAAAAAAAAACACACAAAAAAAAAGCCAGAAAACACCACCCTATCCACCCCTCCAGGAGGGCTCAGGACTCTGGGGTGTTTGGGGTGTCGAGGGGTGCCCGGGTCTCCCTCCTCCTGGGGAGCTGGAAAACACCGAGTCCTTTAACTCCACCCCCAGAACTGGCTGTAAAGGATTTTTATTTTATTAATTAATGAGACTAATTAATGTTAATGAGCTGTTTCCCCCCCTTTCCCCCGGCAGCCAGACACAGTCGTCGCCGTGGATGGGGCCCGGTTACGGGGTGCAGGCGCCGGGGGGGCAGAACGGCAGCGTTTTGGGGGGGCAGAGCGGGTACCGGGTGGGATTCGAGGCGCCCTGAGGAGGAGGAGGAGGAAGAGGAAGAGGAAGAAGAAGAGGAAGACGAGAGGAAAAGCGACGCCTCGGGCTCCAAACCTCACCTATTTATTTAAAAAAAA